GCAAATTTCTGACCACATTATTGGGTAGTTGAAATCAGTAAATGGGCAGTTTCTTGTGCTCAACTGATAGAAAAAAATGGAGTTCTAGAGAAATAGCTATGAGTTTGGTCAACTGGAACAACGGAATTAGCCGAAAATAGGGTTCAAAGTGGGCGAAATCGCCAATTCGTAAATATCACCGAGGTCGCTAACTTCACAAGAGCGTAATTCCGTCAGTTTTCCATCAAATTTCGTTCTTTTGGTGTCATTACAATCGGGAAAAGATTCTCTATCATTTCATAATTTTTTTTTTTTAAATTTTGTGACACCAAGAGACACCTCAGGATTTGGGGTTGCGACAGTCAAAGGGTTAAAAGACAATATTCAAAGTAAAATGGCCAAAATAAAGTGGTGGAGTGGCGATATATATCAGAGATAATTTAAATTGTTGTCTTAGACATGATATAAGATTAGAAACATCGGACACAGAATTTTTTTGGCTACAGTTTCTCGAGGGTCGTGACAAATTAATTTTGGGTGTGATTTATAGGCCCCCAAACCTTGATAGGGAGTGCAGTAAGCAGTTATGGGACGAAATTCATAACTAGAGGAAACGATCTGTTTGACTTGGTTCTTGCCAACAAAGAATCACTAATCTTGAGGTAAATGATGAGCTTGGGGAAAGCTATCACAAATCACTTAGTTTCAATATATCATGGAATTACCCAGATAAATGCAATCAAATCTCTGTCCCAGACTTTCACTTGGCCAATTTCATAGCACTGAGAAATTACCTGGGTGGACTAAATTGGGATGACCTGACTATGGGTCAGGTAGGTGATCTTGGTTGCCAATATGACGTTTTTCAGAGCATAGTTCTAGCTGCCCAGACAACTTTTGTTTCAAGTAAGGAAACTAGATCTAACAAAAATTATCCCAAATAGATGATGAGCAAGGAGGTTTCAGAGTGGGTAGGGGATGTGTAGATCAAGTGTTTACATTGAAGCATATATGTGAACAGTATTTAGATAAAGGTAGGGAAGTTTTTATTGCATTTATAGATTTAGAAAAGGCATATGATCGAGTGGATAGAGGAGCAATGTGGCAGATGTTGCAAGTATATGGAATAGGTGGTAAGTTATTAAATGCTGTAAAGAGTTTTTATGAGGATAGTGAGGCTCAGGTTAGGGTGTGTAGAAGAGAGAGAGACTACTTCCCGGTAAAAGTAGGTCTTAGACAGGGATGTGTAATGTCACCATGGTTGTTTAATATATTTATAGATGGGGTTGTAAAGGAAGTAAATGCTAGGGTGTTTGGGAGAGGGGTGGATTAAATTTTGGGAATCAAATTCAAAATGGGAATTGACACAGTTACTTTTTGCTGATGATACTGTGCTTATGGGAGATTCTAAAGAAAAATTGCAGAGGTTAGTGGATGAGTTTGGGAATGTGTGTAAAGGTAGAAAGTTGAAAGTGAACATAGAAAAGAGTAAGGTGATGAGGGTGTCAAATGATTTAGATAAAGAAAAATTGGATATCAAATTGGGGAGGAGGAGTATGGAAGAAGTGAATGTTTTCAGATACTTGGGAGTTGACGTGTCGGCAGATTGATTTATGAAGGATGAGGTTAATCATAGAATTGATGAGGGAAAAAAGGTGAGTGGTGCATTGAGGTATATGTGGAGTAAAAAAACTTTATCTATGAGGCAAAGAAGGGAATGTATGAAAGTATAGTAGTACCAACACTCTTATATGGGTGTGAAGCTTGGGTGGTAAATGCAGCAGCGAGGAGACGGTTGGAGGCAGTGGAGATGTCCTGTTTAAGGCAATGTGTGGTGTAAATATTATGCAGAAAATTCGGAGTGTGGAAATTAGGAGAAGGTGTGGAGTTAATAAAAGTATTAGTCAGAGGGCAGAAGAGGGGTTGTTGAGGTGGTTTGGTCATTTAGAGAGAATGGATCAAAGTAGAATGACATGGAAAGCATATAAATCTATAGGGGAAGGAAGGCGGGGTAGGGGTCGTCCTTGAAAGGGTTGAGAGAGGGGGTAAAGGAGGTTTTGTGGGTAAGGGGCTTGGACTTCCAGCAAGCGTGCGTGAGCGTGTTAGATAGGAGTGAATGGAGACGAATGGTACTTGGGACCTGACGATCTGTTGGAGTGTGAGCAGGGTAATATTTAGTGAAGGGATTCAGGGAAACCGGCTATTTTCATATAGTCGGACTTGAGTCCTGGAAATGGGAAGTACAATGCCTGCACTTTAAAGGAGGGGTTTGGGATATTGGCAGTTTGGAGGGATATGTTGTGTATCTTTATATGTGTATGCTTCTAGACTGTTGTATTCTGAGCACCTCTGCAAAAACAGTGATAATGTGCGAGTGTGGTGAAAGTGTTGAATGATGATGAAAGTATTTTCTTTTTGGGGATTTTTCTTTCTTTTTTTTTGGGTCACCCTGCCTCGGTGGGAGACGGCCGACTTGTTGAAAAATATATATATATATATAATAAATAAATATATATAAATATATATATATATTATATATTATTATATATATATATATATAATTATATATATTTAATTATAACCCCAAGCGAACTTAATCCTGCAAGAGGGCTGGTCGTTATGCGAAATGTTCGCTATGCGAATTAATTTTCCCCATAAGAAATAATGGAATAAAATTAATTCCGTGCCAAACAACCCAAAGTAATAAAAAAAATTTTTTTACCACAAATAAAGTAACTTTTAGTAACAAACGTAAAAAGGCATGCACAATTACATGAACTACTTATAACGATCTGGTGATTGATCGGAGGGCAATGGGGGCGAGCAGTAAGTGTTGGTAGGGAGATGTTCACCAGCCAGCCTCCGAGGACAAGTCCTCATACATCGTAACTTTTGTTTATTAATGCTTTGGTCAGCTTAGTCACTGGAATATAGTGCACCATAGGCCCCCTGTACTCCGTTCTATCCACCCTTACAACAATAAGGGTGAGAATTTCATGGAATGAAGTCAACAGATCCTTGATAAGTATGAAGTGAGTGGCGTGTTTCCGAGCTGGCCAGGTTTGAATTAAACCCCAATCAACACATCGCTCCTATTGTGGTAAGTATGCTGCTGGATTATCAACGTCAGCTGCTGCTGCACTGTCAGCTTGCCTGCAACTGTAACATCTTTCATTCCATTGCTAAGCACCCTTTTTACCACTGCGTTGACATCAGCTTGCTTGGGCCATGGTCTGCTTTTAGCAAACGCGTGAAAACTGCTGTACATCGTATGTTGCTGCTGTTACCACGTCACCGCTGCAGGCTGCTGGAAGCAATTGGTGACGCGGACTGTGATGGTGGCAGTCCGACTTGCTGCTGCTGTGACAGTTCGCTTTCAGCGTAGCTCGTTTGTCTACTACTGGGGTGCATCGCTTTCATGCTGTAGCATCGCTCGCTGCGGTGTTGCGTAGCATCGTCTGCTGCTGCTGCTGCGGTGCATGTACTCTGCTTATAACAACGTATCTGTTTATGTACTGCTAGTATGCACAATTGTTGGTGTGCTTATTGAGAATACAAGAAACAATTAACCCCAGAGATTTTTTTTCTATTGTTCCCAAAAAAGTCAGGCTGTCTCCACCGAGGAGGTGATCCCCCAAACTATTATCCAAAAAGGGCTAAAACGCCCCAGAAAGCAATCTTCACACCAGTCCAACTATACACCCAGGTGAACAGGGAAATGCCTGGAACTAGTGCTCATATTGGTGAATTTAGAGCCAGCAAAGGTTGGTTTGAGAGATTTAAGAATCGTAGTGACATACACAGTGTGATAAGGCCTGTCTGGAAGAAAATACCAAACAGGACCTACAGTACTCAGGAGGAAAAGGCACTCCCAGGACACAGTGTCTCATCAGTCATTGCGCATCTTCAATAAAGGTAAGTGTCATTTATTCTTCATTTAGTAGAGTAGTACATGCACAATATATATTGTGCATGTACACTCTACTATTGTGCAGTATGCTTCTTTGTGTGAGGACCACTGTATATTCAATGTGGTAAAATTTTTTTTTTTCAAACTTTGGATGTCTTGCACGATTAATTTGATTTTCCATTATATTCATATGGGGAAAATTCTTTTTTTTACAATAGCGAACATTTCGCATACAGCCAGCCCTCCTTGCACAAAATAAGGCGCTAAGGAGGGGTCCCACAAAGTACTTTCATCATCATTCAACACTTTCACCACACTCACACATTATCACTGCTTTTGCAGAGGTGCTCAGAATACAACAGTTTAGAAGCATATATGTATAAAGATACACAACATATCCCTCCAAACTGCCAATATCCCAAACCCCTCCTTTAAAGTGCAGGCATTGTACTTCCCATTTCCAGGACTCAAGTCCGACTATATGAAAATAACCGGTTTCCCTGAATCCCTTCACTAAATATTACCCTGCTCACACTCCAACAGATCGTCAGGTCCCAAGTATCATTCGTCTCCATTCACTCCTATCTAACACGCTCTTGGACCCAAGTTTGATCAACTACAATATATAATTTGAAGACACAGAAAGAACAAATTCTCATTTTTTAACACTGCAGCAACTGTTTAGTGTAGAAGAAATGAGTTCGGTAAAGGAGGAATGTATACTATGTTGCCACCACTCTGCACCCTCCACTGATACCCTCTCCCCACAGTGTTAAAACATTAATAAACATTTTATCCTATCCAAACACATTTAAAAAGTCCAGTGAGTGATAATGCATGCACTTGTGAAAAGGCCAAGAGGAAGACAATTATGTTGGACACAAAATCTGGAGTTTAAGATCATCATGACTAGTATGAGGCAGTCACTTCCATCAGCTAAAGTGCCATTATTATCCCACCCACCAGGGTATGTCTCTCACTAGTGTTAAAATTAATAAGATTTTCCACTTTATTTTTATGGGAAATGATAAAAGAGCCGATCCAAGTAACTCCAGTTGAATTGTGCTCAATTGCAGTAAAATAAAAAATAATAAATGTCTATGCAATAAACCAACAACAATTTAAAATATAATTTTCAAATTAAAACAAAAAAGAGCAACTTACGACTGGATGCGGCGAGGAGCTAGAGTCACTTTGTTTGTGTGGTCCATGGGTGTTTGTGCCTGCAAGGTTAACATCTTAAGTCACAAACAAATATAAGCTTACATTTGTTCCATCTTTGCAAAATATGTGCATATAATAATTATATTTATGGAAGGAGCACTAAACCCATAATGCTCTTACAGTACCTGGGGCAATGGGAAGAATTCAGATTCTATCCTATGAAAGGGCAGGTCCAATTCCTTGGATCAACAGTGACTCACCAGCTTCAAAAATCTTATGAGGTGCCCAACTACAGAAGTAATGTATTTCTTGATAATTAATGATAAGAGTGAGAGTAGATTTCCCAGGTTTGCAAAAAAACATTTAGCATAACCCAGCAAGATCACAAGAAAGAAGTAACTTCTTAAACCCTTCTGAACAAGAATTAAATACCAAGTGTTTTCTGTAATCTCTCAATAATGTTATCAAGGAAAAGAAAGTATGAGATATCACACAAACACTTATACGTAATTTGACTCCTTTATGAAGGTTGTTAAACTGCATCACAAATTTGAGATTTTTAAGAAACTTGGAACTATTACCAAATATTATAAAAGCATTACCAACTGAGCAGTATCCAAAGTGAGCTGAGGAGTGATGGTGCCAGAGCTGGGTGAAGTCATTATTATTGATGGTTGCAGAGATGCTGGCCCTTTGGGGAAGTGTTGACTTTTGTATCTCCAGTTGTGTTGTGGCTTTTGTGACACAAAATCTAGGAGATGTAACACTCCTGGATCTGAAAATAAAAAATGATTTTGTTAGCCATCAAAATCACAAACTGTGTTGTGTAACAAACTTCATTTATCGTTTCTGTATTCATGACATAAAAAGTATACTCATTAAAAGTTGAAAATAAAGTAAAACAGTATTAGGAGTAAACACAGTGAAACTGTGGCCATTAAAAATATTCCTAGTAAGGAACATAGTACTGTACAGTTATATACACAATATTTCAGGCAAGTCTCAGGTTAACAGATGTAAATAAAGCATAGTTACAGTACTTACAGTATTAACAGTTACAGTACTTTGGAAGTTATGCCTGGGGATCTACCACACCAAATCACCTAAAATTATTAATACAGGTTGACCATCACTAATCTGGCATCATCAGGACCTGCAGGGTGCCCAAATTAGTAATTTTGGAGGATTACAGAGTGGTTAGGTTAGAATACACTTAACCCAACAGTGATATTTATGCAACAGCGATTACGCCCACTTTATGCACTATTTTTGGCCCATTCCATTGTTCCAGTCTACCAAACTCATAGCCATTTCACTAGTATTTCTTCTATTCTGTCGACTGAGTACAAAAAAACACCCATATACTTATTTCAACTACCCAATAAAGTGGTCAGAAATTGGTAATTTGGCCAATTTCACACAAATTTCAAGAGATGGCAATTTCAAAACAGTCCAGAATAAATAATGCAAACATTCCTAGCACTAAAAAACATTTTCTCTGTTAAATAACAAAAAAAAGGCACAATACAGTGACTGGAACATGTATTTTCTCTGTTCATAAGTCAAGTTTCCAGGCCCCTCTTATATCATACTTGCTCTCCATTTTGAATTCTTATTCACACAAAAAATAGAAGATTTACTCTTATGCAGACTACTGCACTATTGTAATAATTGTATAAATAATGTTAAGCCATTTGTGACCGCGTATCAGACTGGCCAGTTGGACACGTAATGGTAGGAGACGTCATTTGTTTACTCTTGAACATCGGCAAAAATTTAGCATTTCTGCTACTCTGAGCTTAATTTCAAGGTACTTTCTATCCTAAAACCAATCAAAATCATATCTATTTCTGAAATACATGTATATAAAAACCATATGCAAATACACCACGAAGTCACTGTTTTACACTAAAAACACAGTCGCAGTTTTTTATCATGCACTGCATGCTACAGGATTTTTTTATATAGTGCACACTTACCACACAGACCTATTCTCTCATATGTAAGCCCAAATTTACCAGTCACAGCTTATCTGAATGAGCTGAGCTCATGGCGACCGACAGTGGCGTCAAATCCACCTTATCTTTTTTGGACAACATACTGTGTATGTGCTTTACACAGCGAGAAGTATTTCTTTCATTCGTTGGAACTATGGCTAGGGCCAAAAGTGAGCAGGTTATAACAATAAATGGAAAAAAACAAATAGGAATGACTTATGCAGCAAGTAGCACCACCAAACGGTAGCGGTAAGTTGGTGTGGCAACCCAGGAAATTAGAAATTACGCTAGTTGAAATTAGTGCCGGATTACTGATGGAACCAGATTACTGATTGCTGGATTAGTGATAGCCAACCTGTACACCAACAAAAAAAAAAAAAGCCCACTGTGTGGACTAACACCCATTCCAATGCCAGACAACACACTACACCATTCTTCAAAAGCTTGAACTTACTTAATATACAAAATAATCAGTCATACTACTATGCCTACTATATATAAAACACTCAACACTTAATTCCAAAATAAAGCCTCTCCAAAACTTTTTGTTAATAGCTGCACCAGAACACACAGGCATAACACAAAACAAACCCTCTCTGACATTCCCTGTGTCTGACTCAACCTGTGCAAAAACTCAATGCACATAAAAGGCCCTAAGATTTGGAATTCATTCCTTGGTCACACTACACAGGAATGCACACTTTTGTGTCTTCACATCCATCTGAGTTTACTTCTATTTTCTTTATAGTTCTTGTTCTCATATTATTTCCATTCATGCCCATGAGGAAGTGGAGAAGAATCCTTCCTCCCTACGCCACATGAGTCATAAAAGGCAACTAAATTAATTACTGAATTTAAGCCAGCTAGCCAGACTAAGGTCCTGGAGATGAAAAGTATAGTGCCTGTACTCTAAAGAAGGGGAGGGGATGTTGCAGTTTTCAGGGGCATCTGAGCTGTGGTGTCCTCTGGCAAAAGTGATGGAGTGAGTGAAAGTGAAAATGATTGTTTTTTTGGGTCACCCTACCTTCAAGGGAAAATATAAATGTATAAATTCAAGGGTCATGTGAAGTAAAATAAGAGTAGATATCAAAAAGTATATATTATATATATATATATATATATATATATATATATATATATATATATATATATATATATATATATATATATATATAATATATATATATATATATATATATATATATATATAATATATATATATATATATATATATATATATATATATAATATATATATATATATATATATGTTTCTTTCTTTCTTTCAACACACCGGCCGTATCCCACCGAGGCAGGGTGGCCCAAAAGAAAAAATGAAAGTTTCTCCTTTTATATTTAGTAATGTATACAGAAGAAGGGGTTACTAGCCCCTTTCTCCTGGCATTTTAGTCGCCTCTTACAACACGCATGGCTTACGGAGGAAGAATTCTGTTCCACTTCCCCATGGAGATAAGAGGAAATAAACAAGAACAAGAACTAGAAAGAAAATAAAAGAAAACCCAGAGGGGTGTGTATATATATGCTTGTACATGTATGTGTAGTGTGACCTAAGTGTAAGTAGAAGTAGCAAGATGTACCTGAAATCTTGCATGTTTATGAAACAGAAAAAGGGACACCAGCAATCCTACCATCATGTAAAACAATTACAGGCTTTTGTTTTACACTCGCTTGGCAGGACGGTAGTACCTCCCTGGGTGGTTGCTGTCTACCAACCTACTAGTGTATATATATATATATATATATATATATATATAATATATATATATATATATATATATATATATATATATATATATATATATATATCTTCTTCTTTCAACGTACCAGCCGTATCCCACTGAGGTGGGTGGCCCAAAAGAAAAAACTGAAGTTTCCTCCTTTTAATTTAGTAATATATACAGGAGAAGGGGTTACTAGCCCCTTGCTCCCGGCATTTAGTCGCCTCTTACAACACGCATGGCTTACAGAGGAAGAATTCTGTTCCACTTCCCCATGGAGATAAGAGGAAATAAACAAGAACAAGAATTAGAAAGAAAATAGAAGAAAACCCAGAGGGGTGTGTATATATATGCTTGTACATGTATGTTTAGTGTGACCTAAGTGTAAGTAGAAGTAGCAAGACTTACCTGTAATCTTGCATATTTATGAGACAGACAAAAGACACCAGCAATCCTACATCATGTAAAACAATTACAGGCTTTCGTTTTACACTCACTTGGCAGGACGGTAGTACCTCCCTGGGCGGTTGCTGTCTACCAACCTAAGACGGAGAATAGGATAGCAGATGAACAAGGAGGCTTTAGGAAAGGTAGGGGGTGTGTGGACCAGGTGTTTACAGTGAAAACATATAAGTGAACAGTATTTAGATAAGGCTAAAGAGGTCTTTGTGGCATTTATGGATTTGGAAAAGGCGTATGACAGGGGGATAGGGGGGCAATGTGGCAGATGTTGCAAGTGTATGGTGTAGGAGGTAGGTTACTGAAAGCAGTGAAGAGTTTTTACGAGGATAGTGAGGCTCAAGTTAGAGTATGTAGGAAAGAGGGAAATTTTTTCCCAGTAAAAGTAGGCCTTAGACAAGGATGTGTGATGTCACCGTGGTTGTTTAATATATTTATAGATGGGGTTGTAAGAGAAGTAAATGCGAGGTGTCTTGGCAAGAGGCGTGGAGTTAAAAGATAAAGAATCACACACAAAGTGGGAGTTGTCACAGCTGCTCTTTGCTGATGACACTGTGCTCTTGGGAGATTCTGAAGAGAAGTTGCAGAGATTGGTGGATGAATTTGGTAGGGTGTGCAAAAGAAGAAAATTAAAGGTGAATACAGGAAAGAGTAAGGTTATGAGGATAACAAAAAGATTAGTGATGAAAGATTGAATATCAGATTGAGGAGAGAGTATGGAGGAGGTGAACGTATTCAGATATTTGGGAGTGGACGTGTCAGCGGATGGGTCTATGAAAGATGAGGTGAATCATAGAATTGATGAGGGAAAAAGAGTGAGTGGTGCACTTAGGAGTCTGTGGAGACAAAGAACTTTGTCCTGGAGGCAAAGAGGGGAATGTATGAGAGTATAGTTTTACCAACGCTCTTATATGGGTGTGAAGCGTGGGTGATGAATGTTGCAGCGAGGAGAAGGCTGGAGGCAGTGGAGATGTCATGTCTGAGGGCAATGTGTGGTGTGAATATAATGCAGAAATCGTAGTTTGGAAGTTAGGAGGAGGTGCGGGATTACCAAAACTGTTGTCCAGAGGGCTGAGGAAGGGTTGTTGAGGTGGTTCGGACATGTAGAGAGAATGGAGCGAAACAGAATGACTTCAAGAGTGTATCAGTCTGTAGTGGAAGGAAGGGGCGGGTAGGGGTCGGCCTAGGAAGGGTTGGAGGGAGGGGTAAAGGAGGTTTTGTGTGCGAGGGGCTTGGACTTCCAGCAGGCATGCGTGAGCGTGTTTGATAGGAGTGAAGGGAGACAAATGGTTTTTAATACTTGACGTGCTGTTGGAGTGTGAGCAAAGTAACATTTATGAAGGGATTCAGGGAAACCGGCAGGCCGGACTTGAGTCCTGGAGATGGGAAGTACAGTGCCTGCACTCTGAAGGAGGGGTGTTAATGTTGCAGTTTAAAAACTGTAGTGTAAAGCACCCTTCTGGCAAGACAGTGATGGAGTGAATGATGGTGAAAGTTTTTTTTTTCGGGCCACCCTGCCTTGGTGGGAATCGGCCGTGTGATAATAATAAAAAAAAAAAAATATATATATATATATATATATATATATATATATATATATATATATATATATATATATATACACACACAGGAAGGCCCCGCCTTACGGCGTTTCACTTTATGGCGTTCCGCTAATACGGTCATTTCAAATTATGACCAAAACTCGCTATACGGCTCCCCCCACCTGACTTTCTAATATGGTCACCGCGCCCCACCCTGTTTGTTTACATTCTTAGTGAGCTCAGTAAGCACTAAGTCTCTCCATTTTGTCTGGAAACTCCAAAATTTCAAATGTTTTTAAAAGTTATTTCATATTTTATATACTCTGATAATTATACTTATGTATACCTGTACTTAAATAAACTTACATACTGTGCTGGCATGCAGGTACACATTAAAATCAGTAAGAGTGTCTTATGTCTCCAGACGTCATATTAGTAATGAT